TCAGTAAAATAGAAATATCACACTAAAAAAAGATTTGAAAACAAAATGTACAAGAGTAAAAGTACTTGTTGTGCAGAATGGCCATGTCAATTCTACTTTACTGTTGTATTTGGTCAAAGTGGAGCTAATTTTGACTCCCTTGTATACTTTTGGGTAGTTACAATACATCACATTTTATAGAATTACCATATGTTTTTTGAATGTAAACATAAACTAGTTGCTAAATAATGTAGAATGTAAAATATTTCTTCCTTAAATTTAGTTGAGTAGAATTATTTAGTTGCTAAATTAAGTACAGTATGTGTGTAAATGTACTTTCCACCGCTATTTTTAACATTTCACATTTCACAATTTTTAATTTAGATCACATTAGAATGGTTGAAAATGACCTAATTGTTTTGGGGAAAAAATGAGTTCTCTTGATATTTTTAAATCATTTCACATGGGCCATCGTATTTCAAAGCAGAATATACTTGTTAAATACTTAAGCAAGAAGTTTTCTGCTACAACTAATGGAAGTGGCTCTATTAGTATAAATTTGACAGATGTCAAAGTAAAGGTTTTTAAATGAGAAAGTGGAAGTCTCTTAATTCTGCCACTTAATCAGCTAAATAATTAAATATAATATAGCTATCATATTCCTGGTATTTTTATTTAAAGTTCATTTTCACTTTAGATTGCCCCTCACACAATTTAGATTTAAACAACAGTTTGCCCACTGTAAGATAGTTACAAATACAGAGGATCCACTTTTTCGGCACTTTAGTGAACATTTCAAATTCTTCATCAAATGGGAGAATATTCCAGATGTGTTTTGCAGAATTTAATAAACTATTTTTTTCTGGCACATTTGTTGTCTTTCGAAACATGGGAGTCCCCACAAGTAAAGGTATGTGGTTTGAATAAAGCTCTGCTGCACAACATGGATCTGTAAACCTACAACTGCGCTGAGATGTGCCTTAGCCTTAAAAAAAAATCCACTTATTAAGTAATTTGTAATATGGGGTTTTTATAATGTTAAAATGAAAGCGCTACTGAATATTCCAAAATATGCTGGAGCAGTGCATTCCTATGGCTGCATATACTTTTCTCTATGTGTGCACAGCATGTAGAAGAAGGCGGCTGACTATTGTTTCCCCCTGTTGGCAAGAAGGTGAATGATAAATGCTGTAAGCTTAACCAAATGGAATTGAACATTGATTTAAGTTAATCACAAACTAGTGCAAATCACATCTTGCACATTAATCAAATGTTTTCCACTGGAGCAATAAAATATTATCATGGGCATCAGGTTGCAGACAGCTATGATGCCTATGTGTATGAGTATGTGTGTAACATTTTATTATGAATGTGGTTTTAGTGCGTGTGTGTGTGTGCGCGCATGTCTGAGGCTCCCGCTGGCCCTTCTGCAGACTCTGCTCATTCTCCTCCACTGCAGCCTTTCCAGCCGCTTGTCATCAGTGCTTAGTCTCGCCACTGCTGACCGTCTGCCCAGCGTCTTATGGGGGCATCCTAAAACAAGGAGCTGGACGACTGACATGGCAACACAGATTCACTCTCATATACTGCCTGACACGTGATATACATGGCAGAGAATGCAATCATCATCCACCCAGTGAATAGTGCTCGTCTAATGTTGAATACATGTCAGTATGGTGATTTTCATCAGTTACACAAGCTGCGTGTACAGACTGGCGCTGCAGCTCAGTCAGCACCCTTTCACTTGACATTTTAATCACAATGGTAATCACGCTCTGGTGAGGTTTATTTAAGCAGTAATAAAAAAGACTGAACACTTTGCATGTACATTTTAAAGTTATTGTTTTGCTTTATCTGGACTATCGGTAATCATATAGTATGTTTTTACATAATCTACAGTAATAATATACGGTAATGAAAACTTGGGCCAACACTTTTTCAGTCAGGGCCTCAAATGCCTGATCAATTAATAATGTATTTTTACACTGATCGACTTTAACTAGCCACGGGCTAAACACTTGCAATGTGACACATTTTAATTTGAATCTTAGCAAAATGTCTACAAGTATCAAAATCCTCTTGAATGGTGACGTCCTGCATTGACAAAAATATCACTGTTTCTTTTTTAAAGGGAATAGTTTGACATTTTGGGACATATCTTTGTTTGCTTTCTTGCTGAGAGTAGGATGAAGAGATTGTTACCCATTTCTCTCCAAAATGTCAAACTATTCCTTTAAGGAGCAGGTTTGGTCTGATGGCAGCATTACTTGTGTTCTGCATCTGAAAACCTTGATGGCTATAAATATTCTTGTGAACAACAGCTAATATAACCATATATATATATATTGTTGTGTGTAAAAAGATCAGTTCGTCAGTTTCAGTATAGCATATGCAAATGTTTAGTATTAAGGAAAGCATCACTGGAATGTAAATGTACATTCAGTTGAGTACTGTACTTAACATAATTACAAAATACATAACTAAGTTACTTGCATTTGAGTATTTCCATGTTCCACATTAAATTTGAGAGACACTGTAACAGTATTTTTTTTAACTTATATATATCTGACTATTAAACTGTGGTCACCATGCAGACTGTTTTGACATACAAAACATCCGTTTATAAAATATACTGGATTGTTAAGATTAAACTGACCAACATTATATAAAGTAATTAAAATTAATTCCACCTCAAGGAGCTACACTGTGCTTTAATCCAATAAAAAAACATGTATTAATAATAGACAAACCGAGGCCTTCTGCTATATGGGTACATTTTCATTTGATGCTTTCAGTACATTTTGCTGATAATACTTCTTTTACTTGAAATTTAAAAGCAGGTCTCGAGTGTAATTGAGTATTTTTACACTGGGATATTGCTACATTTAATTCTTTGCGGTTTTGCAATAATGTCCAACACATAATCAGAGAGTTGGCGTTATATTTTAGTTTAGTAATCTAAGACATTTGAAATATTTCAGCTAAATTTAGTGTCTCTGGTTCACAATGTCTGGGGTTCAAGTTTTCAAGGCAGAACAAAAAAATCTTTAATGTTGTAAAATTCCACTAAAACCATCATTTCTTTACATGAGGTTTGATTCCATGTATGCATAAAAAAGGAAAACATTTATTAAAGAATGATATTTCAAATTTTTCCAGTACAAAAATATATATATAGGTGGGACAGTCCGATAAAGGTCGTGTGTTTCTTGAATGTCCCTCTCAGCTTTTGTTTGCCATAATAAGAATCTGGGGTGTGTTCTGGGCTGTAACATTCTGCATAGTTGGGAGGGTTAGTGGATTTGACAGTTCTCCAAGTGTCCCGTAGCCCTGAGTTCAGTGAACACACTCCAGACACAACAGTGACAGCTGGGGGAGGGATAAATAAAAACAGTGTCTCTAGCTCCATTACAAGACAAGCAATCCAGACAACAACCCAGTAGCCTCTGTGCGCGTGTGTGCCAACACATCCACATACAGCACACGCGTGAACAAACACACGCACGTTTTTCCTCACACATTCACTCCTTCACACTTACTGCATTCGCCGCTGCGAGGGCAACAGATGGAAAAACGAGAGAGGCGAGAAGAAGGGGGAAAGCGCCACAGAATATAATAAATGCTGTTGGACTTGGCCCGTTAGCAACCAGCATTCCTCTGACAGGTGTAACATGTTTACCAAACAAACAAGCAACACAGATGTCAGAGAAATGAAAATGGTGACTTGAGGTTGCATGACCTGAGAAAAGGAGCCTGGTATCCAAGTTGGCATATCTATGAGGGCTTTGAAGGTATTTCAGAGAGATGAGAAGACTGCGTGCCACACCAGGATTGCAAGAGTGTCTCGCAGAATTTGTCTTATGTTACTTGCCTCAAGCATCCCAGGCAGCTCTGGTTGTTAGCTGGGGCCATCCGGGGTCACAGGCACTGATGGGCAGTTTTTAAGCCTCTCACTTTCCCGATCACATTCCACTTCAGGGCAGTGGGAAAATCATCTCACATCACAATCAAGCAGAAGAACCACTTGGACCTGTCGAGCTAGACACGGAGACTTCCGATGTTCCCTCCTGTGACCTTGACCTTCAACAAAACCACTTGTTCTGGGCCCTCTCTCCAACAGGCCTCACTAATTTGTTAATTGCTAAGTTAATACTGTCTTCATACACATCTCGCTTCTTGTGTTTCCAGACTAAACGATCCACCAGAAAGGGAGGATACCTCAGAAAGGGACTTCTGAGAATTTGTTTTTACAGAATTCAGACTATCACTCTAGTGCACAAGTGTCAGTCATAACCACAAACTGCCAGGTGATCAGTTTGATGTTCTACTGGTGGAAAATAATTGGAGAATAGTGCAAGCCATATTATCTAGCCGGAGGCGCTAACTTGCCTTTCCAGTAAGGAATGCAATCATTTGCTTTGAAAGTCATTTATCTTTCGAGCCCATGCGCTTCTCTTTGACAAAGCAATGATATACGCTGACTGTGCAGAGGGAAAATGTGATGAAAGAGTTTAATAACTCAGATTCTTGAATAAAATGAAACACATCCTCAAATAAAATGGCCATTTAATTTGGTCATTGTAAGATTTAGGCCAAAATGTGTCTAAGTAAATAATACTACATACATTTACAGTATTTCATGTAGTTTAACAATCTACTACACACATTTATTGTAAACATTGTAAATTGACAGTCCACAGTGCATATTTGGCCACAGTATACAAAATTTCACTATATGTGTCACTCTCATGCTTCCACTGCACTGTAAAACCTCATACTGTAATGCAGTCAAATCAAATGATCTTTTATCAATAACTTAAGGCAGCACTATTCATTTTTTGGATGGTGTTATTTTGATGGTATCTGGGACCTGTGTAATTTAAAAACATTTCAGATTATATAGCTTAAAATGTTTTACAATGTAGTGTTCTATTGTATCAAGACTGATGTACTGTGGTGAAATGTTTTTGTGATCGACAAAAAACACCTAACATACCATGTCCTTCCATCAAATCTCTGATCGTCTTTATTTCTCATAATTAACTGTGTTTACTAAACTAAAGTTCTGCTAACAGTATGTGAGCACATTCTCAGTCAGTACAGAATCTTGAGTACAGGTTGTTTATGAAACGTTAAGAGCAAATCAGAGCTTTAATTCAGATGAAGTACCTCAAGGGCTCAACATAATGCTCTCTTATGCAAAAAAAAAAAAAAAAAAAAAAAAAAAGAAGAAAAAGGGGCATCTGAGGACAGAGATTGATCATACACAACAACACCCACGCTCCCTCCGGTCTCCTGCTTACACATCTGCGCACACACTGGCCCATATTCATTCTGCGTCGTGGCATTAGGAGCTCATCACATCTAGATATTAAACTTAACTGTTACAATAGTAATGGTTGACAGAAAGCAAGAGGAAAGGGCAGGTTGGAGCTCCGCTGATGCTCAATTCAAACATGACCGAACATGTAAACTGCATCATTTGAACAGCAAACAACGTGATCACAAACATTACATCTTTAATTATTTGTGAAGTTATATTCTTTGAAGCCTTTATTGTCATGCTACTTCTCAGTGTGCTCGGTAACTGCATTACCTGCAGCTAAGACAATTAGAGAATACAATGATTACAGGTATTAATGTGATCCATGGAAACCAAAACAAAACAAACAAATAAATACACTTAGCTGTATATTTTTCCAAATGTCACTCCTGTGATTCATCAGATGATGTAAATGTAAAACTCTGTTCAAGTTTTTTTTTGAGGGGCTAAACTACACAGCTTTAAGGACGTGCATTTATCTGGCAGGTAATCCTGTTTTCTGAACATCTTTTACAACTTGAAGAGCAGAAATATGGATGTGGCGCTTTGCTCCAGGCCAGAGCAGCGCTTGATCCAGGATTAGAGACACGTCCTCATTCTGGGAGGAAACATGTTAACCCCTTCAAACCCTAAGGTTATGATACGTGATACTCAATGTGCTGAACTTAACCATATACTTTACCTTGTGGAATAACAGCTGCATGGATCCCTTGGACACTCGCTACTTAACCTTGTTTCCTGAAGAGAAAACCTTAGATTGTCTGCATTCACTTGTATTTGTCTCTCAGGAACGGATGCGTAATTTGTGAAAAGAACTGTATTTTTACCATATACAGTTTCACTTTTAAAGGTTTTAACGCTCTAATGCGATAAATATATTTTCATGACATCAACTCCTGTTTTTGCTACCATTTATGGTCATTCAATTGATTTCAATTATAGATAAATTATTAATGAGTTACAGTAATAGGATTACTTGTTTCAGTAATGAGTAGTCTGGGGGTTACAATTTAAAATTCAGTCATTACATTACAGTTACTAATCCCAGTATGGCTGTGTTCCTTCTACTTTGATTGGTCAGTTTTGGTCAGTTCAGTGGAAAGACTAGTGCAGGACATGGGTATGATAATTCACTCATGAAGTGCACTAAACAGCGCGTATGAATTTGCATATTTTATACCACTTAAAAGGATAAGAGGACAAAATATGTAAGCCTGTATCTTCTCACCTGTGACAGGCTCACAAAACAAACAGATGATACTGAACAAGGTCAACACAGTAAACATACATATTCCAACACTGCATGCACTGTAAAAATACAATACAAACAATAAAACTAAACAGAAAAATGTGCCCTCATGCTCCAGTGAATCTCTAAGGGGCAGAATTGCATGGGAATGAGCTTTTAACAGAGACACCGGGGGAGGTAGAAAGGAGTCCCATTGCGAAAGAGTTGAATTACCATATCACTGAGGAGCAAATACAAAGCTCCTTGAGAGCAGCGGGGGATCCGTCATCCAGTGAAGAGCAGTGTTGAAATGTGGATATTTCTGAGTATTCAGACACCACACTCTGGTAATAAGCAGCGGGGGAGATCACACAGTTGTTTAAACCTCATACAGAACATCCTGATAATCCAGGGTTGTGACGCTAACCTGAATAAGGAAGATTCTTTGTCCAATCCTTAGAATGTGAATGAACTCTCTGTAAACAAACTTATCAACATGAATTTAAGACTTATAAAAGTTTAAGTACAACAAAACTATTACATACATGAAGAACAGTTAGAAGCCAATGTTTCCTCGAGCCATGCAGTATCCCAGTTTGTTCTGGTTCCCAAGGAAAGACATGAGGCCCACGTAAGCCTCGATGAGAATGGGCTGATTCAGGACCAGGACACCATTGGCCTTCCCAGGAATTGGCTTGATGGCGTGGACTTTCTGCGCCGCATCCTTGAGTTGCTCACGAAAATTCTGGATCTGTGGACAAGAAATGTGGGAGGATCAGAAATATATCAGAAAAAACATTGATTTCTTGTTTGCAGCGTGTGAATATATTTCGCTTTGGTGAGGGCATCATAAATATCTTATTTTTTCCATCCTTCATTATTATCCAACCACATATGGGGCCTTCTTATTTCGTCTTTTATTGTTTTTATGAATCATTTTAACAGAGACAGTTAGACAAATATTCATAATTAGGGCCCAATAAAATCAATCCATTTAATTTTTTTAATTTTAATTTTTATGATTAATTTTGTCATCAGAAAGAATGTGTGATCATGTGGTGGATGAATACAATTTCAACAATTCAATAAAAAAAAATATTAAAAAGCAATGAATATCAGTGAATTTGATGTATCATGCAACACACAAAGAGCAGATGACGGAAGTAGCCCCTGTAAATGACACCTAAACATAGGCTCATAATGGATTAGATTTACTTTGATCTGATCAGATATAAAAAAAACTGCAATAAATGCTCTAATAACTAATGAAATGATAAAATTATTATGGGCTGTGGCTACTTTCACATGGTCAAAAATGGTCGGCAAGCGAGCCGATGCAATCTCAAGTGCTCAGAAGCTTCCAAAACGGCTGGAGAAACTCAGAAATGAGCCCTCGCACGGTCGGAATGCACACTCAAATCTGTGCTCCTACAAATCCATACCTGTGCGCTGTCAAATGTTGACTTGCAGACTGAGAAGCGCTCAGATTTTCTTAAATATTTTCTCGTCAATATACTTATATAATAACCGGCCCGGATTTTTCATTGAATCAATATTTCAGCCTGATAAAAACGTGTCTGCCTTGATCTTGAATTTTTTCTTTTTCAAGATGGCACAAACACAAAACATGACACAACATAATAACATTATGAGCAATCAGACCAGCTGGGTTAAGTGTCTTGCTCAGGGACACAATGGTGGATGGGTCACAGTGGAAATAGAACCCAGGTCTCTCACACCAAAGGCATGTGTGTTATCCACTTCCCCATCGCCACCCTTATCAATTGTTTGTGCTGGTGTTTAGGTCAGAGAGTGTTCTGTGTCATGCTTGTTTTGTTAGTTTGGTTAACCACTTCTTTGTTTGACACTTTTCTCTACATTACATAATATTTTGCTTGTTGGTAAACAGAGTATTCTGCAGTTTCTACGATCTGTAAAGTCACCTGACCAAGGTTCCTGATCAACATCGTAGACTACAATTCATAGCTTAATAGGAAAAAAGCAGAGACCAGCTGGTCTGCTGTAATCACACCTGTCTACTGTAAAGATATTCTTGCCCAACAAGGCACATTTCAAAGTGTCATATCATAATTAAGATTACGCTACATTCCTAGCAAACGTTCTTCCAGGTCTCTGCACACCTGTTTGAGTCCATCAGGCTCAGTTGCCAGTCAACAATTGTGTGCAATCAGTGAAATGTGAATAATCCCACCCCCTCTTTTATGCTGTAAAACAGCAGAAACAGTATGGAGGACATGTTTGAAATATCACTAAACAGTGTTGAAATGTCATGACATTGCACAAAATTGCTCCATTCTTCTCTCTTTTTGTGCTTAGTCATCTGCTACACTTGATATGTTGAAATTCCGGTATATGTTTCGCAAACACATCATATTTTCGTCACAAAACAAATCAAACAATGCCGGGTTAATGTTCAGATATGTGACAGTTCTGAGTATTTTATTAAGTGGTAAGAATGACAGATTACACATGAATGATGTCTCATGCCCTAGTTCTAGTCATTCGTTTCTGAGTGATGACTCATTTGACCACAGGATAAAATCTCACCACCGCTGTTTTTTTAAAGTGGTACAGTGAACAGTTAGGTGTCTCATGATTGAGTTCACACGTCCACCTAGATTAATCATAAAATATATGATAAAATCAAATGTTTCAACAGACAAGTTAAAAGGTCTCCTAGCTATACAGAGTTGTGCAGCTGCTCCATAGTTCCAGTTTTATGTACTGAGATATATCATAGCTCCAATGAACGCTGCTGACTGTGGATTATTTGATTAACTGGGATGTTGTCGTCCCCCCACATCAGATATTTTGAACCGTCAGCAAATAAAACCTATTTGTTATTTTTTTTTTTTTTTTGTGATTTGGGTGAAATGAGCCTTTAAACAATGCCATACTGTTATCACTCATCAACTTACATCGCAGAGCGCAGTGAATGTGTCACTGATGTCTCTCACGGGGTGGTAGGTGAAGGTGATAAAGGGGAAGTCAGTTGAGAAGGGGTTCCACCTGGAGGAAAAGGTGGGCTCTCTCAGCCGGTCCCAGAAGACTCGCATTCCCTCCCCCTCTCTCCTAAACACAGACAGAGGAACAGAAATGACAAAGCGAGTCTCTTCACTTCAGATTCCACAGTTCATGTTGTCACCAGATCAACAGCTGCTTTCTACAAACAAGGTCTTGTTTTGTTTTCCATTGAGAATTACACACAACACTGCATATAAATGCTTTATGTGCCTCTGGCCACATCCAGAGTAGCTAAAATTTATACGCTGTCCTTTGTAAGTGACAATTACGTTGCATAGAATTGTTTTCGCCTGCAGCTTTTATCCCAGTCATCACGTAGGAAAAGGTGCTAAAAAAAACAAACCAACTGGCAGCAACTGATTTGATTTTAGTGAATTATGTGAATCTAAAATGTACACATCGAAATATAAAATAATAAAGACTGAGGAAGTGTCCCCTCAGATGCTCTTCCCTCCATCACACTGGCGAATGTACATTCCCCTCGGAACAAAATGGATTTACTGCATATTAAGTACCTGGTGGAGAGGGCCTTCATGGAGGCCTATATCATCTCGACAAAGCCGTCTCAGTTAGTCTTAATCATTTTGCCATAATACGGGCTAACAGGACCAGTCAGTCGGGCAAGGAGCAGGGTGATGGCACCTCTGTCAACAGTTGTTTAATAGAAACATTACCAGAGCATAGTTACATTTTGCAGACCATAATGTTGTTTTCCTGCTCCCACACTACAAGCAGGAACTTAAACGCACCAAACCTCAAATCCACTGCACCACACAATGATCGGAGGATGCCATTACACGGGTGTTGTGCACTAACTGGGACATTTTTCAAGGAGATCTGGATTAGACTTTCTGTTATTACTGACAAGGATGTTCAAGAAATTAGTACCTATAAACTATGAACTTAATAATAATCAATGTTTATTTGCTTTAACAAACTAGCTCAAATGTTCAAGCAGGCTGAAAGAACTGTTAAGAGGTATTTTTAGGGACAAACTAATCTGCCATTTGAAAGCCATTAAATAGGTACTACAACCTATTGCGCGGTGTCCTGCCAGGCTGACAACGCCCCTTTCTTACTTCTCTGAATTGACAGTACTTTACAATAATTGTGTGCACAAATAAAAATTCAAAGCTATCTGCTGATATGAAATTGCCACTCCTTCATGGACCATTATTTTTGCTTCAACATCAGTTAAATTTATTTCCCCAAAAGGGGGACTACCAGACCTGTTGGTTCCATGGTAACAATGTAGGAATAATGAAACAAAGGCACTAATCTGTCCCCAGGGCAAACACTTAATGTGAGGGCAATCTTGTGTTTACCAGGCTCAGAGGTAATCCACAGTGTGTTCATCATATTCTCCTTCTCCTTCTTTATTTAGTTGTTTAAGAGTAAATACTGAAGGTTTTAATGGAAATGCTCTGGAGTCATATCTTTCCTCAGCCTAATGAAACCTCAGAAGACTGAGTGCAAACAGACCTCCGAACACACAGATCCCATCTTTGAAACGATGTTGGTGTTGATCTACATACTATGATGAACGATCCTTACATGCTCTATTTACTGTTTGTCTATCAAATGTGATTTAGGGCTCTCATACCTCTTAGACTGTAAAATCCAGGGGGAATACAGTATCAGTTCAAAAGGTACAGGGTCACAGAGAGTTCAAAACACCCTCCTCTGCATCTCTTTTTAGGATAATGTTACCTTCATGCAGAATATTCAAATGAACCTGAACTAAAATGTACTAAAGTCTCCTCCAGTCACTTCACCTGACTGGACATGGGAATGCATTTTCTTCAGCGGCTCTCCTGATGCACCCATTGTGATACAACAGATTAGGGCTTAGCGATTTGGGGGAAAAAAATCTAACTGCAAATTTTCTGCCAGATATTGTGATTACGATTCGGTTTGCGATTTGTTGTTTTAAGTTTAGCTACAGTTCAGTATTCACTGCCTGCCTATTTTTGACGGAAGCCGTGTCAAGCAGCACAGAGCAGATGAACCAGGCAGGAAGTCAGACATAGAACGGCATAGAGAAGCCGGTTGATTTTCAAAATAAAACACCCTTTGCAGACTCCCAATCGTACATCAATAACACAGTTAAACAGACAAGACAGAAACAATTTAACTACATCGCCTACTAAACCATAGCAGCAGCACAAAAATCAAGGACAACAGAACAAATGAGCAAAATCTGAAAAAGTCAGCAAAATTAGACAGGCAAAACGCTCTTATTCTGAAATGCTCCATGTGGATATGTAACGTTAGCCTGTGCAGAGCGAAGCGGAACGTTATCCGTAGTTGAAGCACACAAAATGACAAATTAACAATACGTTAACGGCTAAATGCTCCGCTGCTGAAACACTTCAGTGTGAGTTGATGCCAGACAAAACTGCTGGCCCCATGATCCCACATTTTCTTATAGTTAGGGCCCGAGCACAAACCGTGCGAGGTCCCTATTGAAACTGTAAAGATTATTTATTTATTTTTATTTTATTTTTTCTGCAAGGTAAGCTCAATTTTGGGGGCCTAAACATACCCGGAAACTCACCAAACTTTGCACACATGTCAAAGGTGGTGAAAAATTTCATATTTTATGGGTTTCGCGCACGTACGATGAGAGTCCCGCCCTGAACACATGTAGATGCCGACATTCACCCACAGTCATAGCGCCACCTGCTGGCAACAGGAAGTGACCTTTAACGAAGTAGCCCCCGCCGCACGTTTGACCTACATGTATGAAATTTCTGTGGCACATGTATCATGTCCAGACATACCAAAAAGCCTCTTGGAGCAATGCCCTAAACCCAACAGGAAGTCGGCCATTTTGAATTTTACGGCAATTTTTGGATGATTTACACACTCCGTACTTTAACGAACTCCTCCTAGGGTCAGACCGACTTCAAATTTCTGCTGTGCCTTCTAAAGGCGTTGACGATGAAACGTTGTGCTGTCTGTGAGTTTTCGTCAATGAGCGTGTCCGTGGCGTGCCGTCTAAGATCAACTCTTTGCCATGACACAGGAAGTTGTTGTAACCGATTTATATTCATAGCGCCAAGTGCTATGTAGCTCCACATAGGGGGGACAGGAAGTGACATAACGCCTTCATGCAGCGTCAGAACCGCGTAGCAAATTCACAGCTGCACCGGCAGAGCTCCAGAATATGCAACGCGGCTGGCTCACACCCGGACGTGCTACAAGTGCGAGGGCCCGACGAAAGCTGCAAGCCCCAACGCTGCTTGCAGCTTTAATTTTCTTTGTTGTTGTAAAATGTACACGCCCTGTGTGTGTGTGTCAGATTGGTGAGTAGGACCGTAACAGGAAGCGCAAGGCGACTCCTGATTGCCGAGCAGATCTGTCAAACAAGGATGACAACATTTTAATCGCCGTCTTCAAAGTTAGCTAATCACGTCCTTTAAAATTGCAATTTCAATTTGAAAACGATTAATCGTTCAGCCCTACAACATATCTATCCCACTAGGATCATATAAATACACTGCAAACACAGGCATGTTGCCTCGAGCCGCTAGCCTCAAGCAGAGATGAGAAGCAGACTACAGAGGTCTGGCGAACTCACTTTCTTCCAACTTCACACCAACAGAGAGTGTGTGTGTCTGTCCACACACACACACACACACACACACAATTATATATATATATATATATATATATATATATATATATATATATATATATATATATATATACACACACACACACACACACACACACACACACACATACTTTTAGATTACATGCAATTTCATTGTGGCGGTCATTCAGGTTCCTTACCCCCCCTTTTTCTTTGTAGGCTGATCTACACCTGTTTAACAAAGTAGGTAAACAACTACTGGATAAATCCTGATTCAAAACAGTAGCTAGAAAAACCTGAAGTGACAGGTTTGACTCCTCAGTCCGACATAATTACACTGACAGTAGAACAACACAAAAAATACAACAGTTTAATTAGCCTACAAATTATAAAGTCAGATAAAACATTAATTTAGTGGTTGAATTTAAACATTTTGACAACATGAGCTCTTTTCAGAACTAAAGCAACACTGAGTGAGTTCTGACTTTGCATTGCACTTTTACATAGAGGCATCATGTTTGTGCATTTTTTTTGTTTTTTTCCCCTTAAACAAAACAGCGTTTTCTCTTTTTCTTAGGAGAAACCACCCAATTAGCTGGAAATAAAGGTAAATGCTCTCACCCTTCAATGATGCAGATGCATTTCATCATTCCCTCAGCTCCGTGCATTGTTTAGACATATTACCATGTTATGTTGTGCAAGTCATTTGCCTGCTGCATGCTTTCAAACCTGAGAATAAAGTATTTTTGTTGGCCTGACACCAAACCCACAAATCAGTCCTTGCTGCCTTTGTAGCCTCTGCACTTAATATGTGGATGTACAAACACATGGGTTTATTTGGTGCTCAATACTATGACTACACACTGTAGTCAGCTTTCAAGAGGCAACTTGCTAAACAATTTAACACGTAAAAAATGTGCAAATAGCACTCATAAAGTGCAGCTTGTTATGGCAATCAAACAACCTGTTTTGGTGTTTTTGTGATTTAGCTGTAACAACTGATGGTGGTATTAGATGTCTAAGGTGGTGGGATAGTCTTATCTATAATGCACCCGCTGGTTTACCTAAAAAAGCAACAGAGAAGATAAATAAATCAAGATGTGGGTGATTTCCCAACAGTGTTCTGATTTCCTTAATGATCTGTCACCATGATGTGCTCATTTTACCTCATACCTTGTGCAAGAGCACTTCCTGCCAAACAGATTTAAACACCTGAGGCTAAACAATAGTGTTGTGGCTGTTGATATGTCACGGTCCCAGGGAGGGGCTGCATCATAATGTTATTTAGCCTTGTTTACACAAGTACTTTTAAAATGACAATGCTGCCGCTGAACATTCTGTGCCTCCAGAGCAAACGTTGTGTAGGGAAAAAAAGGGGGAGGAAAGAAAAAAAATCTTGGTACAAAAGCAAAGCCCAGGCTAAAAGACTGATTATATTTCAGCAAAAGCG